CAAATCGTATATAACCTTAGGTAAACAGAAAGTAGTAAAGTTCTATAGATTTCAGCTTGTAAATAACATTACAGCTGGCCAATTTCCCTAAGACCTTAAGATACAATTCACTTGCAAACTTGGCTTTTTTCTAAGTTATTTTTCCAGGTTTTTGGAATAAATGATACAGTAAGTTTCAGTCTCCTTTGTTCAGAAACGGACTAGATTTCACTATTTTCAACTTTTTTCATCAGCATTTGTGGGACAACTACAGTGTAAGCAATGAATAAATTATCACAATAGTACGTACCGACAGCTAAACCAAGTATTCCCTGAGGCAATTCGGTGATAAGAAACACAGCTACGATGCCGGTAAGCATTGCTGTGGTTCGCTCGGCCTAAAAATGCTTTTAAGTTGCATTGTTTTCTATTTTTTCTTCCACAAGTATAGATATGGGTAAAACTTACTTGTGAATTACCAGTAGCTAAACCACCACAAAGTCGTGATCGTCTCTCGCGAGCTTCGATAAGCATTAGAACAAGCAAAGTCATAAATACGGTGAGCAGAACACAAGGAATCAGTTTCAAGACACATGCTGGAAAAATGTTGAGATTTTTCGATATTAGAAGTTCACTGTGTAGAAAATCTAGTAGAAAAGCAGACTTACCAGCCATCCAAAAATTTACTCGTTCCCATGCGCAGTTATACCAACTTGGTTGTTTTAGGTCGTAAACTTCTATTATACTATCTTCACTCCATGAAGCATGATATTTGCTAGCCAGGCAGTACTTTGGAACATGCATTTGTGATCGAAAAACTACCTAAAAATAATTTCATGCTAGCTTGAGTAGCACGAAAATTTCAATGCATGCTCGTACAAGCTTTTTCAGAATTGTAGTACAAAGAGTTTTCTTTTTTTATATGGCCTGAAAGAAAAGCTGCAAGTGCACTTGACACTGCTAATTTGACGAATTTACGGTACGTGGATTTTTGGCAGCGATAAGAGCATCTTCAATGGCTTAATGGTTTTTCAAGAGGACTTTCGGTTTGTTGAAAAATGTTTTTCATAGAGAAAACTACAGAATTTTCATGGAAACCGAGCTTCATAAAACAGTTTTGACAAACGCTGAAAAAATGATTTTTCGTAGTGACAAAAGCACACTCAAAAGGCTAATGCTGTTCTAATTTTACCCAAAAACTGCCAAATGATTTTTGTTGATTTCATTGTCTACTGGAGAAGTAATAGTTGATGTGGAAAAATAGAACTAACATTGTAGCGAAGCATATTTGGAAGACTGCCAATTAAAGCGATGATAGCGCCGATGACGATGGCTATGAATGCTGCCGCATAACTATTGCACTGAGGTAGACGGGTTTGTGAACGACTTCCGCGATACAAAACTAGATACCTAGAAAATTGAAAAATAGCTACAAAATGTGTCTAAAAATCAAGATGTAAAAGTGTTTACCTCATCACTGCCATATTAACAGTAAACCATAGACTAGCACTGTGCACAAATACAGAAAACATTGCATAGAATTTTGTATAGATCATCCATGGATACGAGAAAAACCATGGGTGACAGAGATCCACCTAAAATATGCACTTGTTATTCGTGGCATCGACACCAACGCTAGTAAGCTCCGCAATTATAAAAAAAACGAATTATATTAAATTGAATTAGTTGGATTTCACGGATTTGGACTTCATAGTCTGCCTTGAGGTTAAGGGTAAAAAGCATACGTCCGGTTATGTATGTACGAAATTTCGGTAAGACTATTTTTATCACGTGGTTGTGGAAAATTTCCCATTTACGAGGAAAATTGAAAGATCTTGCAGCTCTCTTACGGTTTCCGTTTTCAACTTGCCGCCATTTCTTTTCTACAGTTTTTATTGAGAAGGCTTAACTGGCTTTACCCAGAAAACTCTTTACCATACACTTATAGTAACCTCGCAGAAAAACTTAGACATGGAACGAGCGTCAAGTTCGTTAGCAGAGAGTTTCAAAAATTCATATTTTTACTTGTAATTCCTTCCCTTGATCGCTTTTCTTTACCGAATCAGTTCGGAAAACATTTTTTGAATTCGTACTATTATCGAAGGTCGAAAAACGAGAGTAGAGGTGCTAGATTAATTGAAACTACAAAAGAAACTCGTATCAAAAGTAGCTGACTGAGACTAATTGGTCACATGACCAGATTAATTGAAATTACGAAGATCGTATCATTGTTAATCTAAGTCTCACTCATTTTTCGTCATTAGCCTCGTAAATGAAAATTCTTTGAAAAAATGTAATTACTGCTTTTTCTCTTGTACTACGTAATTCTGATTAACTGATTGGATGTAAAGGCCCCACACACATTTTCAATCTTGATTTTATCAGAGCCTTTAACTTTCACTTCCGTATAAATTTTGAGTGGGAGAGCTCCTACAGTAACTTCTTTGCACAAACTGACAATACCCCAGCCAGATTAGGCAAAATACGCCATAATACGTCTGTGTTTAATCTTTTCCAGGAGGATCCCTAGGATTCAGCTAGGATGTTCCCACATACAGCGCGATCTCTGGTTCA